GGTTAGATGAAACTGTCGGTTTTCTTCAGGGAAACTCGATCCGTTCTTTCATGGTTTGGCTATGTGCTGCTGTGGTAACAGCTCTTTTTACTCTTTGCGGCACCTTTACCTAATGAAATGTCGATATGTCGGTGAATCTTTGACACATAGGTTTCTCTTGCTGACTAAAAGTCAAGCTGTTCGCCTTAGTTGAACGATTGCCGTTTCGGTGGCGGCTGAGAACAAGCATTTTGCAAACGAGTTGTGCCGTTGCCGTCGAGACACAAAACTGTGTTAAACCAACCGGTTTATGGTTTTTGTCCTCGTCGTGTTTTCCTCCGTTTTTCTGGGGTTTTTTCCGATTTTTTACCTCCTTCATCCCCTTTCTAGATGTTGAAGAATGTACGTGAAATGTTGTACGGGGGGATAAATCAAAAGGTGGCATCATTGTAGAATCTTTGACACTTGAAAAACGGCATTGCCAAGAAAGGAATTCCAATTTAGTTTAATGCTGTCGGTCGTCGTTCTTAGTGAGACCACTTAGAACGTTCACATTATAGCTGCAATGCGTAAGCAGCATTTAGCCCTAATAAATTTCTAAGCAATACCGGTTATGAGAAGAGGAAATAAAGTCGTTTTGCATGAAAAACCTGAGTTCCCAGGTGGAACTGTCGTTGTAATGTCTCGTACTACTTTTTGCAGCGTAGGCTTTGACCTAATTTTTCAGTACCTAGGCTTTTGACTTCTCAGAACAGAGGGCAAGCCTTTGGCTGATCTATGGACAGGTACAGGAAGGGATAAAGAAAGGCTGAGGGAGGGGATCTTCGACAGAGGGTCCTTATCTGCTCTGTTTGGATGAGCAGGGTTGTCAGGGTGAACAGCAGGGTAAAAGAGATGGTCAAGGCTTGCTGATCGTTGGAAAATTCTTTTTGAGGCTCAGGCTCCAGTTGCACCTTCTCCCTATGCTTCCATCCCTTCCCCTCCTCAGTCCTACTCACTCTCACTTTCTCGGTCTGGACTATTTTTAGGGCTTCATCCAGGCAAAACCATCTTTATATTGTCTAGCACCCCTTTCTTCATTCTAGCCTTTCGACCCAATTCTGCAATACATAAGTTTGTCAATATGAACAGAAGGGCTAAAGGGAAGTCTCGGGCTGAATGATCCCTGAAAAACTCTTTTTAAAGTTTTATAACTTACCCCTACCCCTCCCCCTCTCAACTCCACTTACCCTCTGGTCCTGGCTGTAGCTTTCTTGCGATTGTTCCAACAGAAACTTCTGACTGAGTTTATTTTCTGTAACGAAGCGAAATAAATCAGCTACTGATTGTTCTTCTCCTTTAAACGATCCAGATTTCAAGGGGTAAATAAATAAATAATCTATTTTTTCATAATTTCAATGCTATTGATTGTACATTCCAAATGAAGTCCATTTCTTCTGCTTATACGTATGAGGCTCAACAACTCGTCAATCGTCTCGACATCTCTAGAACTCACTTGAGCGACCCTTAAAGGAACGCTCCTTTCCTGAGAGCCTTGCGGATACCTAATGATACAAATGTTCTATTTTTGTTGTAATCCTTGTCAGAAATGATTGCCCCTGAACAAGCTTCAGGCTTTGAAGTCGGTCAATCATCCATTTTGCAGTAAACACCTTAAAAGACGTAGAACAGCGAGAAATCAGTTTTTTACCCATAGTCACGTAGCCGTAAGTGGGTGGGAAGAGGCGGCGTTGACATACATACATGACCCGAGAATCAGATTTTTTCCCAAAACTAGACTATGGTCTTGATTAGAGGTATTGTGTTGATCTAACATTATAAAAAGCATTTACATACGCTGCCTCAAACGTTCCGTTCCCATAGGGAATGAGCGGTGCGGTTTACACAGAGGTGGGGTTGGCTTGGAACTACAATGTCCCATTCGGGGAACTTCCATACTCATCTTACGATTCTGATCAGCTTGAAAAACTTACAGGGAATAAATGACTGAAACTTAAACTTGAACCTGAAAAAGGATCATTCATGCGGGTGCACGAAAATGGATATCGGACGGCTTCAGCGGTCCGTCGGCTTAAATGGTGAGAAATTTCTCACGCACTCTTGTCGGCAGGTCATCCACTTTACGACAGCAAAATGTTCATCTGTGAAAAGCGCTTCAACAAAGACCAGAATCACGATATACTTAGTCGTAGAAGGAGGTAATCTTCTGAATCTCAAGAATGCGTTCATGAAGAAGCTACGATTGAAGAGAAGTTTTCGAGCTCCTAATAGACAGTTCTATAACACACTTCTTGGACACCTTGGTAAATTTTTGGTTACGTATTATTAAGTGTTGTGCACTTAGTGTTGTGGAAATATTCGCTGTTTTCCCTTAACTTTCTGTTAAAAGTAGAATACATGGCTTATCCCGAGAACGCTCTCCCTATCTGTGACTTTTACTACTTTCTCTGGCTATTGATTTGGTTACCACCTCTTCTACTTTTACAATTACTGGTTATCAAGATGACTCAGCAAGTCCTAATAGGGTATCGTAGACGGGCCTAATAAACAAATAAATAATAAACAGAATACTGAGTTGGTCGCCATTCGCTGTAAGGTCTTGCTTGTGCTCGCCCTAAGGCCTTGGAGGTGGCAGCCGGCTTTTCCTCATTCTTTGGCTTTGACTATTACCATTAGCCGAGGAATCTGGGTTCATAGATCTTTCCGTGCTGATCGAATGTTGCAGGCGCTTTCTCATACACGACGGAAACTCATTGTCATATCCATTATTAAACTTTCAAGTGGTAGAACAAATGGGATCGATCTCATTTCGATAATGTTCCATGTGAATGCCACACATTAGACAGAGATCGAGCCGATAATTCCTCAGGCAATGCGATTCGTCAGAGCATGATTAAGTAAGGTTCTGGTTTCTATTGAGATGATGCAAACTTATGCAGAGGTGTTGGGTGAAGTGACAAGTGGCACACTACCAGATGCATGGTTCCCGTATCGAATCTCGGATCGGTATCCGTCCAGGCCTACTAAGCCTTCCTATCCTCCAGGATCGTTTGGTTAACGCTGGACTCGTCTGGGAGAGTAGAAGCACTGATTTCTACATTGGCTGATCATCGCAAGTCATTGTGTAGGCCATATACGCATTGAAATGCCACCACGATTTTGAATGGAAGTCGAATACGGGGAGCATCCCTCAGACGGAATCTTTCAAAGGCTTATGGTTACATCAGTACAAGACTTCATCCTTTATCCTTTGTGCTGCCTACTTCAGGAAAGTTACATTGACAGATTCAACGTTGGACGATCGAACAGCCCCTATAGGGTGCGCCATGCCCACGACACCTATCAATTCGATGCAGCTTTTGTTACGTTGTATACTCGTTAACTTGTTACCGATAATGAAAATAAAATAATACTGTACTGCTATAAGACTCCACTCTTTGGTATATTCATTTGTTTACTTAATTAACTATTTATTCGGTCAGTTGTTTACTATCGGTAAAGAAATCACATCATGATTAGCAATCTTTATTAAACGCGTTCTCTATGGAAAAGCTGACGGCTAAGTTGGTGTAGGTTCTTTACAGTATCCATTAGAGTTACCTGATTTTCACTGCAGCAGTACCGTACCTATGGGATAAGCGTGGTTTGATTAACGCGTTGAACGTTGAGTGACTCTTTGAGATTAGTAGATTGATAACTTTCGATGGTTAACGGCTGGGGGGATCCCACCCTGTGAAATTTCAAATGTAGTCCGGCATCTTGGCCATTTGACTACTCTCACCCCCTAGATTATCTTGTTTATCTGTTTACCTATTGAACTTCCAATCGCCCTTTTTGAAATACGGACTGAGTCGGCTCCGAGGCAACCACTGCTGCCTGAACACCTTGGATATTTCCCTTATCAATTTTTGAATAAATAAATAAGCGAATAAACAAAAGCTTTGAAAGTACAGTAGAGCTCTTACAAGCCTGAAGAAAACATAAAAGGAGTAAAGAATAAAGACTTTGGCGTTGATGAATCCCGTTTTAGGATACGCCCCGCATTTGACTTCCATTCAAAATCGCAGTGGCATATTGAATGCACTTGTCGCCCCTACAATGACTTGCGCTGACCAATCAATGTACAAGTCATTGTTTTACCTTCCCAGACGGATCTGGTACCAAATAACCGGCACCAGAGGGGTGGAAACCTGACATGGCAGGGTTAGTATTGATCCGGTATTCGATCCCTGGGTCATGCATGTATGGTAGTGAGTCACTTGCCACTACACCGCCTCCTACACTAGCCCTTCGAAAAGGGTCTGGGAATTCAAAGCACACAGAGCAATACTGAGAGGCGTCGGCATTTCCTTATCCTAAAGATTCGGCCGTACAAGGCTCACTTGGGCAGGGCCAAGATTGGTGTCGCGAAAAATCGTCATCTTTATAGAACTCTACCGTCTCCACCTAAAATCTGTAGCCACGCCAACCCACCCAGCAAAAATCTGCAGAATTTTAGAAGCTGAATTAGCACAGAACAACCCAAAAAGAAACCACAAAGCCATCAGCTTCAAAATCCACTAAATCTCTGACTTATTGAGCCTCTATGCCTTTCTTTTTTAAGGTTCTACGCCTCTGAAAAACCACCTCTTAAAGGAAACTGATCTCCTCTCCATCTGAGGACTATCTGGAAAACTAGACACTGGAATGCATAGCAAAAACCTCGAACTTACCGTTGCAAGGACAAAGAATGAAAGAGCGTGTGAAAAGACGTTTCAGGAGCGTAGCCACACCCAAAACTATGGCAGAACCCCTGCTGAGACTGTTAAGGACAAAGTCGTATAACATTTCCTTCTCGATTTCGTTCCTATGTTTACTTTTTTTCTCTCGCAATGCAAGGGCTCGTTGATCGTGACTGGTATTGCTATGACGTCAAATTATTAGCCTTTTCTGCAGGCACACATGACTACAACTTTTTGACGGCTACCTGTCATATGTGTCTGTATTATAAATAGTAGAAATATTTCGCCTATTACTTAGAAATGACTACTTATCCAGTGATATTTCGTTGCTCAGAGTGTACAATTGAACTGCGTAAGTCTTTTTTCCCTACAGATTTGTTGATATTTATTAATTTTTTTAATCAGCAAGTATCAACCTACTCTTGTAAGTATTGCTTGTTAAATAATTAGCTACGAGTAGGTATCGTTTCATTTATTGTTTAATTGTTTTTTTGTTTTTGTTTTTTTGTTTATTTATTCAATTGTTATTCACATCCTGTTGATGGGAAGGTCTCTTTTTGGATTAATTTTGAGCCTCTTTCAGCAAGCTTGGAATTGTTGGAAAGCCATATATGGAGCAGGCACCTGCACAACTTTCCGTTCAGTTGTGCTGTATGCAGATTTCCTGCTATTGCTCATAGTTCGTTAGCAGCACACTTTAAACAAGCTCATTCCCCTGGGCAGGTTTGTGCGATTCTTCGTTAATGAGAGGATTAGTTATTCTTTGTTTTCCTCTTTTTATATATCATGTTCGTCTCCCTACCATTTACGATCTTCGGTCTGTTTACGATTTTTCTTTTATTGGCTAGAAAATTTGCTAATGGAATTTTATTATCAGTTGTTTATTTGTTACAATCTGTAATCAGCTAGTTCAACACAAATCAACAGTTCGTCCTTTGGCAAGAAAAAGGGGAGCAAGACTTCGTAATTTTCTTCAAATTATTTCTTCATCTTCTACATCAATAACCTTTAGTTATCGTTCAATTTGTTAATGTAATATGTTCATGGTAGGTCCATTTTTGAATGTCTCTTTGCGGTACTCTTGCGGTACTCTTAATGGATGCAGAAATCAAGGTAGTTAAGTAGCATATCTTCAGATGGCATGTTTCATACAGTTCCCTTCTTCTGCCATTTATCTTACGCAATTATTTCTTCAATAGCCCTGCCCTTTTTCCTTCTTATCACGGTCCGGCCCTTATCGAGCCTGTTTCTCTGAAGTTACTATAAAGGGAATAAATGAACAAAGTAGTAAGCTCATCCACTCAGGCAAACTTGTCATGCCGTTCTTTGCACAAAGGCAAGAAAGAAGCTTCGGTTGGCAATGAAATTCACTACCACCTACTTTTGCGTCTTTTGTTTTTTTATTAAATGAGACATTCTCAAGGAATTTTTCAAAGAATCCCTTTAGAAGTATACTTTTTTGACCAGTGCTCTTGTGGACAACGTTCCAAACCTTAAGTTTTGGTCCTGTTTTTGGCCACTTTAATTTAGTGTATTTTACGCTTAGTTTGAAAGTTTAAAAAACCTCAAATTACATTCAAGCAGATGGAAACCAGACCTGCTGTCACACTTACACGTTACGGGTGTAATTTGGTTGAATACCTCCTATGGACCCTCTCCTGTCCACTTAACGATTTCTTAGTAAAACATGAGTGCAATGGATAGCTCTCGAATAGTAAGGATGATTAGAGGTCGAAAGACCTTTCCTTGTTGTGTAATGTGATGCTGTACGATTGTATCGCTGCCCCATGATTAGCGCTCGAGCAGCTGGCGTTGTCAGTCCGATGTGGTCTAGTGGTTAGGATTTGCGGCTCTCACCCGCAAGGCCCGGGTTCGATTCCCGGCATCGGAAAACATTTTGCAAAATTGATTAAAGTTGTAATGAGAGTATCCTAATTGTAACTGTTATATGCATTATTATTTGTTGGCAGTTCCGCTTAACTATGCTAGTTATTTTCTATCCAAGTCGAGGTTCGATGTCTTCATACCTACCCCCTTCTAGTTCTTCATAATTTTCTTTTTTTAGAGTTTCGAAACATGCTTCCGTTCGGTCTAATATCTCAACCTATACCATACTCTTTTTCAGCCAGTTGAGTTCCAACGAAAGATGATGGACGAGCTGCGATTACGTGATATCATCGCCAACTCTATTGTCGTCCCAGTTTATGAAGAGGACGTTATATATGAACCTGCTCCTCCTCAGGTGTAGCGAATTTGAACCCTATTTTTGCTTTATTCGGGCGGCCCCGTTTCCTGGACTGCCCCACTTTCGCTGTCTTATAGGCCCTTCAATTTCCTTATTTTTGCACAGGACATTCCCTGATCTCTTCTAACTCGACCTTTTTTGATTTGATTGGCTCTAAAGGCAATACCTCCAGCAAATTTTGGATCAAAACTTACTCGGACCTTACTACCACTCGCATATGGGAGACTTGTCCGCAATTACTCTGCAATTCATTGTATTGGCAAAATGCACGTTTGGAATTGGAATGACTGACTAAATGAATCTCAAATTAGGGTTGACCAGTGCCAAGGGTTCCATCCATCATCATTTTTTCTTTCCCAACATTTATTTTTCAAGGACTCTCGGGATGAAAGTCAACAACGTGAAATAGCTATCCAATCACTCGACACACATTCGAGAGAGCCCGAAGCGGTGCACACAGTCGTTCCAGAAAGCGATGAACAACCCGTAGAGATTATCGACGTTGGTGAAAATGATGAGAATATGCAGATTACCGTAGTCAGCGATGCAAACCCCTCTGTAGCTGTGCCTCTTCTTGAACAAGGCATTTCCATGGAGAACGAGGTGGTGCTTTCTTGCGTTTTTTTTTCTGATGGGTTCAAAGGCGTGTTACACAATTTCTCCTGAATGACCAAAAAGTCCATTTTTTTTAGATGATCAACGAACTGGACATGTTCGTACCAGAGGGTCAACGCTTTCAAAAGGTGATTCCGAAAACATTTTCTCATAGCAACCACCTTGAGCATTCGCTCTACGGTTTCTTCTTTACTCATATAAACCTACATTTTGAGGTGGAAATGTTCCAAAATGTTGAAAATGGTCCCGATATCGCCGTTGTCGAAGATACAGGAATGCTAGATGGGCAACACATCGTACGTTTTTTTCATCCATTTTCCATTTACTTTGACTTAATTACATCTTTTATGTTTTTACTGTAAGTGACGCTTGTTACTTCGTATTGTTCGTGTTTCATTCCACTTACTGCTTTTTACGCCTTACCTTCCTCCCCTTCAGTTATTAATATTTTTTATTCCACCCTTACTCCCTCCCTCTCATTCTTTTGTGCGACTCTTACTCTTTCCTGATATTTCCTCCTATCTACTTGATTTTTGGAAGACACGAAAGTATGTATTCCCAATGATCCTCCTCTACCTTTCACACTTCTACATTTACACCTTTCACTTACTTGAACCCTTTCCAACTTGATAGTCACCGGGCAAGAGTGTGCGGATGGCATGTGTCCACTTACATAGAACGGTAAGCACTGAAAATGGTGCTGTCTTCAAGCTGATTATATGGAAGAATAATCGAAGGAAGAGACTTTCATCTATGAGGAACAAGGAATCACATGCAAATGAATGTTCGATGCACATGCAAATGAGCTCGCTATCGAAGAGCGATGGTCAGGTCTACTCATATAATAGATTTCTGTTGTTTTTTTTTTCTAACAAAAATTGAGCTCCGTTGGACATAGTAAGTTCGTCTTTTCTAAAGCGAATTCTAGCATTTACAATCTGTTCAGGATGTTTTCACGAAAATTCACACATTCTGAGCTCATAAGATGTGTATTCTCACCATAATTAGGTTGAGATAATTGTGAAGACCAATTTGTTAAAATGAAAGGTTATTACATTGCAATGAATCAGTGTTAGGTCTCAAGTTATTTATATGCACTGTGAATATGCCCGCTCTGATTTCTTCAAAATACTATTGTTATGCGCTACAGTGGACGGAGTTGTCGGAGCTTTTTTTTCCATTGCATAGCGGTTAGTGAGGCTCAAATTAATTGTAAGAATTTTGCCGTCGGAGGTTCCCCGATTAAGGGAAGTATTTTCTGGAAATAGTAGGTCTTTTTTTTAGGAAAGTTAGTTTTGTAATTCTTTCTTGAAATTTCCCTTCGTTTCCTTTCTTTATGCTTCTCATATGTGTCTGGGTCTATTTGTCATAATCAAGTTTTGCTATGCTCATTCATGTAGCTTCATTCCCATTAGAATCACTCTGTTTCTTTCTATTTCTTTCTTTTTCTGTTTTCATCCTTTTATATTATTTGAGTTTTCCGTTTTCCTCTCTGAAGTTCGCGTACAGTTTTGAACTTTTTAACATGAACTTTCGTTCAAGATAGAAAATAATCCAGCTGAGGACACAAGTTGGCAATTATAGGCTTCAGAGATTTTGCACAGTAGCGGATCCATGTTGCTCCCATCTTTTTGTACTGAGGAATAGGCATTTTATCTTAAAAGCATTTTATCTTTTAGGCTCGAGGAGCCCAAATGGTCCACATTGACGAAGACGGTGCCACCTATTTCTATGAAGGAGAGGAAACAGGAGAACTTATTGTGGATGGAGCTGCTTATGATTATCAGAATATGGATGTTGAAGGAAATAACATTTTTATCGAAGAATCGGTGCCTTCAACGGTGAGTTCGGTGCCTTCCCACAAGTTTATTGTTTAGTATTCGCTGTTGGATTTCACTTCATTTTTTTCGAGCCTATTTCCTTTTTTTTGAGAGATTGATTTACTAGGTAGCGGAGAGGGTTCGTAATGTCGCCTTTTTACGTCCTATCTAGAAGGGATCCTCGAGCGCGGGTGTGGTGCGATTCACGCGTCAATATAATGAGGTATCGGAAAAAANGCGCTAAAACATCATTCTTACCATCATAACGGAAGAAATAAAAACTTATAAGTAGAATGAGTAAAGAAATGACCAACTATGCACGTTTACAGAAGGAGTGCATTTACTAGGATCAAAAAATTTGAAGTTATTCTTATTTTGAACGTTTGATAAGTAAATTGTTGACCTATGAGGTGAATTCTCAATCTCGATGGGGCTTTTTTTGCCAGTAAAGAGATTTGCTCTATTCATGGTGAAACCGTGGACCACTGCAAAATTATTTGGTCCATCTCAACAGAAAGGTGCTGAAACGATGCTGCGTGCGCGAAGAGTTTTAATGGGGTCACGCGTAAATCGCGCGCCCCCCTCGAGCGCACGTAGTTGAAGACAATTTCGGTGGTAGGGCCTAGCAACAGTGGTAGTTTTGATGCAGTATTAGAGAGTTAGGCATTGCGTACCTCACCTCTGGATTGCCCTGATACGCTCACGATGCTTGTAGTGGCGTGGCTTTATGGGAAGTAACCTGAGTTGGCAATGGTTATCTTTTCATCTCTGTTTTCCTACTCATTTTTAACCCCAAGTTGTTTTTGACTATGACGTACGCGTACCTAAAGCAGCTGATTCTCTAAGTTAACAAGGTAAGGCTTAATTTTGTTGTCTACTGCCCGAGTTATTACGGGGAGCAAATTGGTAAAAGTGTTTTGCATAGCTATACTAGTAGGGGCATTGGTGGCTGATGAAATGTGATTGACCAAAACCAAAATCGTGCATATTTTTCAGTCGAAATCCAGTAACGACCTGCGTATGCGACTTGCGAAGCAACGTCATATCGACTTTGTTGTCAATAAAGTCGCTCGCCGAACGAATAATGGACGTACTAGAAGGCCGTTGACGATTTACGAGTGTGAAGAGTGTGGGAAGATAATTCGGGTAACTATATATTGAACTCCTTCATAAGTAGTTGTTTCAGTCCCTTCTTTTCAGTATCCATCAAAAATCGAAGAGCATCGAAGATCTCACAATGGTGTCAAACCACATCAATGTCATCACTGTGGTCAGCGATTTTCTCAGAAAGGCGGATTGACATGTCATTTGCGATTGCATACCGGTAACTAGCGATAGTATAACCCTTTTCTCTTTAACCCGTTCTGGTTTTGTCTCAGTTTTTAGTTCAAAGTACAAATTACTCCTCAGAAGGTTCTTTAGTAATTTTATATGTTCCGAAAATGGTCTAATCCAGTACCTTTAAGGTGAACGTCCATATCATTGCACTTGGGATTGTGGCAAATCGTTCCATTCGAATTCTGCTTTGAAAATGCATGAAAGAACTCATAAGTAGGTTCAGGGTTTTCCTTTTCATTCTTAGCTTATGTACAAAGGTTTTTTTCAGTGGTGATCGACCATATTCTTGTGAAATTTGCGGGAAACTGTTTTCTAAGCGATCTCATTGTCAGCGCCACGAACAAGTGAGTTATGCTTTTCATACTGCTGTTTTTTTAATAAGCTATTCAGAGTTTCTCTTAATTGCGTTCAATATGAAATTTACTTATATGTTTTAATGGTTTTCCAAAACTCGTACAGAAGGGCGCCCAATTTGCTTCTCTAAACAAATCTGAACTCTGTTTGGAAGACTGGGATTTAAGAGAATAGGGCACTCACGATCCGCATCTGTTCATCAGCTCTTGTGCAAATGGCTACAAGGGTGATCAATACGTGTGTAAGTGGCTGGCTCTAAGTTGCTAAGAGGCCAACGAAGTCGGTTCGAGTTGTGCTTTGTGAGTTAAAAGGTGCCGGTGATGTCGTAAAATAGTGGCTACCGTGTTTTGCTCGAATCGCAAACAATGGACATATTTCATTCAAGCATCAGCATTTAAATGTTGTCAAAGCTATCCCATTTCAGCCTCAGATTCTGCTGTGGTACCGTATGTATCCTTTCTTGAGTGATAATTTTTTCAGTCGGTCCATCCACGCGAAACAGCGCGACGAGCGGCTCATCAATTTGGGCTCGCGGCTGCAGGAGATGATGAAGATCGGCTTCGCGACGTAGTTAATGGCGTTATTGAGGAGGTTAGGATAGAGCGCTCACTTCGAAGTGAACTGAAGGTCGAATTGGATTAAGTAAGCTTTGCTTTGTAAGATCTCATGTACCTGTAGCCTAGCAGTGCTCATTTTTCGCTGTAATTTTAGGATGCTATAAATTTCTCATGCTAGTATGCTACAATTAATGAGAATGAAGTGAATGTGGAGCGGTTGGCTTGATTAACTGCAAACTTGTTTATTTTTACTACTGAGGCACGGCAAATATACGTGCGCAGTCACATGTGACATGAGTTGCAGTCAGAAAAGCTTGCCGCTCCACGACCGTTCGCCTAGTATGTACGTACTACTCCCGTGCTTTGTTTTGTTGTTGCGACTCTCCCATCGCAAATCATGTCAAAAGGATCAGCGTGCTACTTTTCCATTTTACAACTAGGATTATCGAAGGACTTGAAGGATTACTAAATATCGGGTCTACGAAGTAAATGTTGTTGACATTTTAGTTATTATTGAAGGAATATGAAATTTTACTGAAACGGGATATCTCACGGTTTCTTCAATAGATTTGTTTCTGAGTTTGTCTTTCCTTGAATGCTGTGATAATGTTGTTTTTTGCTATATTGTTTTTTCTTTGTTGTTTTGTATCCTTCTGAAGTCTTTAAGGCCAGGATTTTTCGATCAGGTGCTATCAATGAGCAGCCATTTCCGAAATGTTATAAAGTTTCATGTATATATGGACGAAATATCATGATATTACCATTAAATTCAGGCCTGAATGATAATAAAGTATAAAGCCTTGATGTTGATAAATTCAGTTTTCGGGATGTGCATCCGTATTCATCCATTTAGAATTGTATTGAGGTTTGGAAGCTATGTGGTCTATACAATGACTTGCAGTAGCCAGCCGATGGACAAGTAAGTGCTATTATCCTCCCAGCACAGAGTCTAGTATCAATTAATTGACCTCGGAAAGATGAAAGGCATGGGTGGCCTGAACGGAGACCCATCCGGTATTCGAACCCGTGACCATGAGTTTGTGATAGAGCGCTACTTGTTACGATACCACGTCTGCCCTTTGATGGAAATATCTTTTACGAAACTCATTATTTCGCCCCGTGAACGCTTCACCACGGGCGCCCCATCCTTAAAGAAAGGCAAAGTTTTGGGTGTGGAACGGCCTAATGTGAGCATAGGTATTCAATGGTCTCGCCGAATTCTCAAGCGATTCTATCGGTGATGGTGATATATTGTGATTATGTACTGTAATGAGTTACAGAGAGGCGTGCTGGGCGTGTTGAAAAGACAGTGCGTTGTCCATGAACGCTATGGCTTTCTAATGAATTTTTGAGAAATGTGCAAGTCTGATGGTGCAGTACTTTTATGATGCGATGCTAAGGTAACCTCCCTCTGCCATTCCTCATCTCTTCCATTTTGACTTAGCCTACTGTCGTGACGAGGTGCCCTCTACCATCGGCATCGGCGTTCCCACACCTCAGTCACGGCAGAACGTGGGTATTTGGGTGCCCACACACCCCTAAGGGGACATGCCGTGCCGAGGAATGCTAAGGGTCCTGCTGCGGGCTGAAGAAGGGCCTAGTCCCCTGTCGCCGAACTGAGCTACCAACTACAAGTGCCTCAAATACTCTCGGGGTTAATCCCGTGCAACTACATAAAAATAATAAGACGCCACATTTATATCATACATGGGTACAACATGCGGAACTTCAAATGATGTAAAAAATGGTAAGTGAAATATCATGATGCAATAGCTTTATACCAAAAACATACATGAATAAAACAACTAGGCGATTACTAACCTGGATAGGAGACGAGAGGTGATGAGAAGAGGAGATAAGCCGAGAGACGATGATCGACGGTTACGGAAAGAACCCACGGGACGGAAAAAGGGGAGCACGCGACGATCCAACAGTCTCGCACGACGAATGCATACAGACGACTGACGGGAGTAGATACGCAGCGAAATGTT